TTATCCAGAATATTTTTGCACTAAAAATAGATTATATCTACATAATCAAGTGTTTTCCAATTATGTTTAGGAGAAATGAGTGTTGGTAGGGTGGGATGGGGAAAGTTAAGGTTGGATCCCCAGAGATAGACAATGAGATTGCGAAATCCTTTTTAAAATTCTATCTTCACACACACACACACACACACACACACACCCAAAATTCTCATTGTAAGAAAATTCAGTGATATATTGAGTCACTCATCAATATAATGTTAAAGCACATCTTGTTCAAAACAGTGGTAGAGAACCATAAAGCTTCAATTTGTTTCTACACATATAATGAAATCAGTGCCTAGGAAATCTTTAAAACTCAAGTAAAAATATAACTACTAAAAAAGTCAAGTTTAACATTTTCTGTCTGTTGGAACTTCCACCTTCTCTAGATTATAAACTATAATCTAGGGACAGGTTATAAACTATATTCTAGAGGCCAGCACTGTGAAATTGAAGGTTAAGCCACCACCTGCAGTGTGGGCATCCCATATGGGCACCAGTTCAAGTCCCAGCTGCTCCACTTCTGATCCGGTTCCCTGCAAATATGCCTGGGAAAAGCAGCATAAGATGGCCCAAGTGCTTGGGTCCCTGCACCCACGTGGAAGACTCTAAGGAAGTTCCTTGCTCCTGGCTTCAGTCTGTTCCTGCCCTTGCAGTTGTGGCCATTTGAGGAATGAATCAGCAGATGGAAGATCTCTATCTCTCTCTCTCCTCTATATCTCTGCCTTTCAAATAAATAAATATTTTATAAAAAAGAATAAACTATAATCTACAATTAGGACTTTGCCACAAACATCCATATAAATTATTCTGCACTTTCCAATATTTGAATGTTTTAAATGCTCTCTGCATTAAGCCATCTTCCTTTTGGCTTTCCTAAAATTTTAATTTGTTCAATTGAATTGGTCTGCTATTTCTGTAACCAGGTCACTACTTAATACTACAATAGAAGAACAAAGCTACTTTATTCCTCATGCCATGCTCCACATTCAGTGGCTTAACAGCCATGCGATTGACAAGAGTCTCTCACTTGTGAAAGTGTCTTCCCTTTCTGTTCCAATTAAAATGTTTGCTAAAACTCTGAATATTTACCTTTTAATTATTGTTGTTTCACATTTCAAAATTATAATGGAATAAATCGTTACTTTTTCATGAAAACATATACATATTCACTGTTTTGTTGCAAGGATACTTAATATTTCAAACCTTTAAAGATTAAATGCATGTAATAAGGATGAAAACACAAGTAGTCCTAGAACTATATGAGCCATACCTATTCCACAAGAAATTTATTGAGGATATCAAATATGGTTAGAAAATATCCAAAATAATATTCTAAGGAATATTTTTGAGACCTTCACATGTAGAGCCAATTATATGGCTCTCAAAAACATAGATACATATAAACAATATCTCAGAAGACATTTAGCCTCGCTTCCTGTTTTCCATGGAAAAACTTTTTATGGGATCAGCGATTTTCAGTGAAGATGTTTTTGACATTAGAGCAAGAGAAGACGATTATTTACTGACCTGGTTGCCCTCTAAATTTCACAATAATTAGCATCCATGAAATTCAGAGTCCCCAAAGTCAGCAGACCTACTTTAAAGACATTGTAATCATTTTAAAACATTTCCACATATTTCAAATGGCCCAGAGTTATCAACCAAAACAGGAAACCAGAGCACAAGTCCTGGCCTCAGATCCCAGTCCTTATTCATAAATGCTCTAGAAGTTACCTGATTCATACAGGATCAAAGTCTAGGCTCTGGTAGACCAGAGTCAGAAGCATTAGGACTAATTCTTGATCTCCCACCTAAAGCACTGTTACAGTCAGGTAGTCAGTAAGGAGGCTGATGATGCAAATTCCACCTATCTGTTTAAACACTCATGCAAGAGCTGTTATAGAGCATCTAAAATCTTTAAGTCCTATATAATGCTCTCTCTAATGCATTTGTCTTTATTCCAGTTTTTCTACCAGAAGTGAAAAATTGAATAAAGAAAGGAATCATCAAACAGTTGAGTAAAGAAAGGAACACTTAAGTAGTTCAAAAAATTTAAATGCTAAAGAACAGGCCTCCTATACTCCTTTAAGTTTATTACAAATGCAAAAGATCTTTCCCGGTAATATTTTTGCCTATCCAATTGTAACACTTTAGATTTACTACTGATGCCCACTTTCACTTGTAAAGCTAAATAAGGAACTTCATCAAAAAAATAAAAATAAACAAACTCTATTTATAGTTATTTGATTCATAAATTAGGGAAAAAAAGACCACAATGAAACCAATCACAATAATTTTTAGGCATAGGGAAGTAAAATGTTATAGAAGATCATTCATTTAACTCAAAGAAAGAGTTATTGCAATCAGGATAATAATAACTCAATGGTATACACTCAACATAGTAGGCTTTTCTTTGTTCAAAATGGACTTTGATAGAATATAAAACATAGGTATTGAATGTCTATCTAAAAATACAATTCAACATTTTCCCAAAATATTTAATTGCTTAAATATCAGAAAATGCTTTAAAAAATTATAATAATTGGATATTTGAGATACAGCTTACATGATATTATAAGATAGCAACCATTTACTGAGCATTGATAGTCATGATTGTTAATGCTAAAAGGAGAAAAAAGAAGAAAATAGGGAGAATAGGGAGAGTCTCTGAAGACCCTGAAGTAGCAATGTAAACTACAGTAAGTGGCATTGCAAAGAAAGGACAATTATCCAATTCTGCTCCAAATTATGGGACTTTGGGTAAAAGTTACTCTGTTTCTCTTTGGAACTGGGGAAGTACAAGGAAAGAAATTCCTTATTCCTAAAGAAGTCGAAGGAAAATAGGTGTTTTTAATCCAGCATCCATTTATACTTCCAGCTGTGCCTTTTTGGGAAGTTAACAGCTTTCATTGGCTTCTCAAAGTGGAATGATACCATAAAGTTAGTTTTGATTAGAATAAAAGGTGATATTTATCAATACTTTCAGTAAAACATATATTTAAAAAAAAAAAACTAGTCATTTAAAGGAAAAAAAGAATTTCATGCAAGAAATTTCAAGTGCTACCCAACCAAATCCACGTCAATAATAGATAGATGGGCTGGCACAGCGGCTCACTAGGCTAATCCTCCGCCTTGCGACGCCGGCACACCAGGTTCTAGTCCCGGTCGGGGTGCCGGATTCTGTCCCCGTTGCCCCTCTTCCAGGCCAACTCTCTGCTGTGGCCAGGGAGTGCAGTGGAGGATGGCCCAAGTACTTGGGCCCTGCACCCCATGGGAGACCAGGAGAAGTACCTGGCTCCTGCCATGGGATCAGCGCAGTGCGCCTGCCACGGCGGCCATTGGAGGGTGAACCAATGGCAAAGGAAGACCTTTCTCTCTGTCTCTCTCTCTCACTGTCCACTCTGCCTGTCAAAAAAAAAAAAATAATAATAATAATAATAATGGATAGATGAATGGGTTTCTCCTCCACTTATAAGTAATCCAAAAATAAGAGATGAAACCACAAGACAAATTCAAGAATACCTTAAGCAGAATGATTACATTTACAGGTACTTACAAATTAGGATCAGATAGAAAATGGGTTAAAATTACAATAACAAAAACTGTGCAAATTGCTTTAGTAATACCTTCACAACCAATTATTCCTCTTTAGGCAGGAAAGGCACATACAAGTAGTTCTACTTTACAGATGAGAAAACAGGTGAGAGGGTTATTGCCCAAGGGCAAAACATTAACTAACCCTGCCATTCTCCTGACTTGTAGGCCAGTGTTCTCCCCAGTGTTAGCAAGCAGTGTAAGCTTCCTTCCTGGGGATTTATTTACTCTGTATACCTGGCAGAGGGAAGCAGAGAATTTTACCTCTGTGTTTTATGTTTGTTCTGCTGAAACATTTGGGGCCAGGTGATAGCACTAAAGTTTAGGAGATTTGAAATGGCTGTCCGTGGTTATCATCTCTTAGTTGGTCATTAAGTACGGGCCCAACCGAAGCGAGAAAAAGGCTTTACAACACTAGTAGACCTCTCCACTGCAGGGACTGAAGGGGAGATCAGATATTGGGGCCCATTCAGCAATAAATTGCCTCAACTTTGTAAGGCACTTCCTTCAGCTCCAAGAGGCAGCAATCAGAAAAAGAATTCCAGGTAAAGGCTCCTAGTCCTGTACGTGGACACCAACACCTCTTGGGTTCAGGGATTCACCAAACACCTAGAAATGTAATCCGTCCCCCACACCCACCACCAACCTATCACCTAATAAAACCACCCCGTAGTGCAAATGTTTTTATCTGTAGACACGTGTTCATTAACAGAGCGCCAGAAAAAAGCGCCAAGAGGAGTAACAGGGAAAAGCCAGGCCTGCGGGGAAACTGCAAAACCCAACTGCGGCCCCGAGAACTAAGCGGCTGTGAGTTGACTGACAGCAGAAAGGAGCCAATCCCTAGCCAAGCGAAAGGCCTCGGGATGTGGGCGGGACGAACGTCTCCAGGGCCTCGCGGGCCGCCCCAGACACGCTGGCAGGGCGGGAACCGCGCATTCCTAGGCGACCGCGGCGGCCACGCCCACTCCCGGCCGGACCCTGCGCCCGCCTGCCCACTCCGCCCCTCCGCGTTCTCCCCAGTTACGGGAAGGGGTCCTGAGTGACTGCCGTAACTACTGGGTTTCCCAAAGCTCCGGATTCCTCTTGCGGGGCCTCCCTCACCCAGCCCGCCCAAAGATCGTCCCGTAAACGCACGGGGGGCTCGCCTCAGGTGGTGTTCCCATTTTTCAGCCCCGCACCCCAAAGCGTCCTGGGCAGGGTCTCCCCAGCCCCCTCGCCCTCGCTGGACGCACACACACCTCAGCTCTGCCAAGGCAAGGGCCGACAAACTTCGAGTCCGGCTGGAAATGTTGCTGTCCACGGTCCTGTCACTCAGAAGCAGGGGCGGGACGAACCGGCCGCACAGCCCCTGCTCCCGAAAGGCGGTCGGGGGAGAGGCGGGGCTCGGAGGGCAGGGGCGGGACCAGGCCTCAATGTGATCTCTCATTGGTCGGCATCTCTCCCGCTTCTGCGCGGGTCCTGGGAGGCGAGGCAGCAGCCCTGAGGCCTTTCGTTTTGACAGGAGCCTGAAGCTCTACCACCTGTCTCACAAGGTGACTGGAAGTTAAAAGTAAGGACTGTGATTTGTTTTATAAATATAAAATGCGAAAGTATATAATTTTGATTATTGACCAGCTCCGAACACACACACATGCACACGCGTGCACACACACCCACACTCTCCTATCTACTCTTTGAGGCACATTTCTAGATGAAATTAGGAATTGTCTTTGAAAATACGTATCCCTTCCTGATTGAAGCAGAAAGGAAAACAACCAAAACAACTTTTATAATATTTAGCTTTTAACAACCATGTAGAGTGATCAACTTAGGAAAGGATGCATTGTCTTTGAAATGTATTCCTTACTGATTCAAACAGAAAAAACGAAAACAGCCTTTTATATTGGATTAGCTTTTTTTAAAAAATTATTATTCATTTGAAAGGCAGAGTTACGGAAAGAGGGAGAGGCAGCGGAGAGAAGTCTTCCATCTGTTGGTTCACTCCCCAAATGGCAGCGACAGCAGGGGCTGGGCCAGGCTGAAGCCAGCAGCCAGAAGCTTCTTCAGTATCTCCCACTGGGTGCAGGGACCCAAACGCTCCGGCCATCTGCCCCTGCTTTCCCAGGCCTAGTAGTGTGGGGTTGTATAGGAAGTGGAAGGAGAATGGAACTGACACCCATAGGTGATGCCTTGCAGTGGGTGGCACTTAACCACTGACGCCTAATTTTAGCTTTTAACATGAGCTTAATCAATTTAGGAAAAGTGATTTGTAAAACATGACCAACAAATAATGTTTGGGAGTTTATGCTCAGGTACTTCGTTTTCACATCCATGAAGTGGGAATGAGATATTAAAATGTTGTTTGTTAGAGGAAACATTTGACAATCGGATGCTTTACACCTTATACTCAGGTAATACTTACAGAATCCACTGAGAGATGTTGTTATTATCCACAGTCTGAACATTGAACCAAACCAAGATTAGTTTGCCTGCAGACTTTTTTTTATGGTATTTCTGGTAAACTGAATTTAAAATTCCTTCAAAGAACTATGCCAATGCAAGTTTAATTTTTTTTTTATCTTGTTCAACTGTAGGTAGTGCTCCTCAAGGCCAACCCATCATGTCTTTTTTTAAAAGCTCTTGAGGAAAAGCGTAACATGCATTAAAAAAAAAAAAAAAAAAAAACCTGAGACAAGTATAAATACACAAGCCAGAAAGGTTCCCTAATCTCCCATGATACAATGGCCAGGATTTGAATCCGAAGTGTATTTTTATCTTTTGCCCTCCTAAATCATTTCCTGGCCACCAGTTCCTTCCCTAGAAATAAATGTAGAGTTAAATGAGATTATATTGATCATCTTAATTATCGTGTGTATGTGTGGGTGGGTGGGTGTGGGTGCATGTGCATGTACGTAGCTTAAAATAGTGAAACCCTTTTTCTATATATATTAAACTAAAAACCAGAAGTTTTATCTTGTCATATATAATAATAGTAAGTAGAAAAAAAACTAAAATACTTCTGGACAAGTGATTTGAGACTCAATTAAAATATCCATCATATTGTGATAAAATTGTTGGAGTAAAGGAACACATTCCAATTTCAAATGCTTTTATTTTCTTGTTCTGTTGAATTTTTAAATTCTTCTGAAAGCCTGTTAACTATGAATAACTCCATACAAAACTCTCTTAATTTACATGACTCATGGCCACCATTAAGTTTCCTTAATCCTTTAAAATTATTTGGTTTTAGCAAAAAAAGGAAAGAGTTGTGATTATATATTAATAAGTATATTATATAAATAAGTACCATAAAATGTAAATAAAAGTGATGAATGTATTTACTTAGATCTTTTTTCAATTGCATATTCAAATAAGCACAAAAATGCATTTGTTTGAATGTTCTCACATATATAAAATATACATTTAAATAAATGTGTTGTATGCTTCTAAATGTCTAATCATTGAAATAAACACAGCTGTATGTTCCCCATATGTATAGCTCCAGATGTTTGATTCATTCAAATTTCTGGAACTCTACACCTTGGTATCTGGTTATATATACAATAGAAAAATGATGAACTACATGTGCATAGGAATGAATTTTTAAAATATATCCACTGTAAGAAAATAAGATAGCAAGTATTGAGTCCGTTTCATTGAATTTCTTGTTGTGAACATATCCTTATGAAACGACTTTTCCTAGCTGGTTGTTCAACAAGAGGTTAGTGATCTATGAAATAAACACCAGTTAACTTGCCCTATATGAATATAACTCTTGCAAATGTTTTCAAAAGATTTAAACACCAAAAAAAGTTTTTTACAAGTTAGCTCTTTTTTTATTTTTATTTATTTATTTTTTTGAGAGGTAGAGTTACAGACAGCAAAAAAGAGAGACAGAGAGAAGAGGGAAAGGTCTTCCATCCGCTGGTTCACTCCCCAGATGGCCGTAACCAGCTGTAACCGCCGGAGCTGCACAGATCGGAAGCCAGGAGCCAGGAGTTTCCTCCAGTTTCCCACACAGGTGCATGGGCCCAAGGACTTGAGCCAACCTCTACTGCTTTCCCAGGCCATATCAGAGAGCTGGATTGGAAGAGGAGCAGTCAGGACTAGAACCAGTACCCACATGGGATGCAGGTGCTGCAGGAGGTGGATTAACCTAATACACCACAGAGCTGGCCCCACCAGTTAACTCTTAATCCTCCCCAGATTTCAAGTAGGAAAAGTCACACTATTCACTTCTAGATTATTGCTTTTTCACTTCTTTCTTCTGCTACAAAACTTGAAACATTTATAATTTGGAGTTCCCCCATAGGCACAAATGTTTATTAGAAGTCATTATGGAGAACAAACATAACTAGCCAAACAACAAATAAATATTTTTAGGCACTCTGAACAAGAAGTAAATGGTTACATGAAAATTAAAACACCCAGTTATATGTTTTGAATATGCTTGTTTCTTTAACGTGCTAATGCTTTTGGCCTAGATGAATATGCATATACCTTGAAATGGAAGGCAATCAATTTGACATATTTATAGAAATTCTTTAGTAATCATGAAGCTCACATTACTTAACAAAATTATTAAATGTTAAGAATATATGAAGTCTATTGAATATATTAAAATTATAAATATAATGTTAAATTACTTAATCTTGTCCAGCAGCCGTTTGCCTAGTTACTCAAAGTTTAATTATCCAGCCTAGCTCTCCAAGAAGCAGGAATCAATTATATAGTAGGTCAAACCAAATATTGCTATTTCTGCACAGTCATACCAGGAAAGTGTTAGGGTGAGCATTGTTTAAATTTAAAGCAATGATTTCTCATGTGAATTCATTTAAAAAAGCTCTATGATCCCCAAAGTCTGTTCTTTTAAGTCATAGTAACTTATAGTACTATATTTAAATATAGTACTATATTTAATAAAACCTAGAAAATGAATATGCTTTCCTTAAAGGTAAACTTCATTTTCAAAACTCAGAAAATTAATAAACCATCAAAAATCATTTTTGTTAGGACTGGCATTGTGGCATAACTGGTAAAGCCATCATCTGTGATGCCTGCATCCCAAATCAGCGCTGGTTCTTGTTCCAGCTGCTCCATTTCTGATCCAGCTCCCTTCTAATGGCTTAGGAAAGCAGCAGGTGATGGCCCAAGTACTTGAATCCCTGCCACTCTCATGGGAAATCAGGATGAAGTTCCAAGCTCCTGGCTCCTGGGTTCAGCATGGTCCAACCCTGCCCATTGCAGCCATTTGGAGAATAAACCAGCAGGTGTAAGAGCCGTCTCTTTCTCTCTCCCCCAACTCCTTAACTCTGACTTTCAAATAGGTCTTTTAAAAAAAATCATTTTTGTTGGCCTGCACAATAGTTGAAATTATAATTACATAGCATATGTATAGAACAAACCCCATGGAAAGAGCAGGACTACAGTATTAAATGCACATTTCAGTGCTTATTCCTCTTCTGAATAATTAAATGCAAATTGTCTCTGAAATCTGGAAAAAATATTATCTCAAAATATTCCTCAGATGGTACAAGAACATATATAGATGATTATTTCATATAAGTGAAAAAAATATGTAATCACACAATGAAAAATACTTGAAGATAAAATTTGGAACGTATGAAAAGTATATCTTGTAGCCAATTAAAATGTTCACATTTTTTGCAGTACCTTGAACATTTAATATATGTCAACAACTCTAAAATATTTCAGAAATCATGATGCAGCTTGCAAATGATTCACAAACACTAATTCCCCCTTTTTAGTGTACACATAATAATAATGGAAGATTGCCTCCTGATGTCCAGGAGATGACTCAGCAATCCAAACTGTGTGATTTTGTGTCTCTTCCATCTCAAAAGGAGATCTCTGCATTCCTCACATTATGGCAACAGCAGTGGAAGAATCTAAAAGGTTTTTTTTTTTTTTTTTTTTACTACTGTAAGGAAGAATTCAGGCACATCATCTGGGATGTACTTCTGTCACTCAGTATTATTTCTAAGATACATCAACATTATATTAATTTGATATTATATTGCTAAGAACAATATCCCTGTTTTCTTTGTATTATATCACATTTTCTCCCCAAGTCCAGGATTCCAGAGCCATGTTAGCATGATTCACTTATCCTTTGATTCACAGTATACTTTTTTACATAATTTATTTATGTACATTGCATATTTCTTTATCCACCCAAATAATGTAAATTGATTTAGGGTAGAGATCCTTGGCAGTGCCTAGCACTTCACAGACAATCAAAAAAGGGCCACTGATTAATTATTTTTTACTGATTAAGTTCATTGTTCATAGTCATGATTAACTCATTTTTATCTCCCATGATATCCTAGTGCTTGGATATAGCACAATTCATGTTATCTATTCACCTGATATAGGATTTGGGGAATATTACTAAGTTTTGCTTATTACAACCAGGTTTTTATAAATTGCTGGGTGTATATTTGCAAGACTTTTAAATAGTTTATAATTAGGAGTAGAATAACAAAATTGAAAAGCATGTGAATATTTTAAATGAAAATATTATACCTGGGGTGACAATACCAATTAAGATATCTACGAAGATGCCCACAGGCCATGTGAGTTCAGTTTCTGGTACCAGCTCATGATTCTAGTTTCCTGAAAAGCAGACTCTAGCAGCAGTGCTGTTGGCTTAAATTCAGTTCATCCTCCCTTCATGCAAGACCTGAATTGTGTTACCAGCTCCTGGCTTCTGTCACTGCCTAGTCTGGACTGTTATGAGTATTTGAGGGAGAGAATCAGCACATGGGCGCTCTTTGTCTATCTGTCTCTTTCTTTCTCAAAAAAATCTATGTGTATGTGTGCATCTATGTGTCTACCAAATATTTTCCCAAAAGTATATTACCATTTTACCCGCCTAACAGTAGTGTCAATGACTTTTTTTTTTTTTTTTTTTGACAGGCAGAGTGGATAGTGAGAGAGAGAGACAGAGAAAAGTCTTCCTTTGCCATTGGTTCACCTTCCAATGGCCGCCGCGGCCGGCACACCATGCTGATCCGATGGCAGGAGCCAGGTACTTATCCTGGTCTCCCATGGGGTGCAGGGCCCAAGCACTTGGGCCATCCTCCACTGCACTCCCTGGCCACAGCAGAGAGCTGGCCTGGAAGAGGGGCAACCGGGACAGACTCCGGCGCCCCGACCGGGACTAGAACCTGGTGTGCCGGTGCCGCAAGGCGGAGGATTAGCCTAGTGAGCCATGGCGCTGGCCTGTGTCAATGACATTTAAATGTATTAATCTTTTCAGAAAATCAAATTTTGTCTTGTGATAACTTTATTGGGTTTTATTCAATTAATTTCTGTTGCTAACTTGTTTTCTTTATTTCCACTTACTTAATTTTCTTCTCTATGTTCTTCAGGTAGAACACAACATAATTGATTTAAACTTTTATTCTTTTCTAACATAGGCATTGAAAGCTAGAAAATTACCTCTAAGAACTGCTTTGGAAGTATCCTATAAATTTTGATATGTTATATTTTAATTAACATTCATTTAGAAATATGTTTTAATTTTCTCTTGTCTGCCTTCTTCTTTTATCATTTGGTTATATATTGAGAATTGTTTTTAGTTTCCGATGCTTGAGGCTTTCCTAACATCTTACTGTTATTGACTTTTAATTTAATTCTACTCTGGTTAGAAAACATAACTCTGTAAAGTTTCAACTTTTGAAAATTACTGAGACTCATTTTATAGCCGAACATATGATTTATCTATTTCCAGTGTACTACAAAAAATTATGTATTCTGCAATTGTAAAATATAATACTCCATAAGCATCTATAATAATCTACATTGTTGCTAATGTTTTTAACATTCTATCACTTTCTGGAGTTAAATTTCCAACTATGGGTCTGCATTTGTTTTTCCATTTAATTGTGTTAATTCTTGCCTGATGTATTTTAAAGCATAATGTTAGGCACATAAACATTATTGTTGAGGTCCTGATGTATAGTCTTTTATCATTATAAAATGTTGATTTTTTTAAGGTTTATTTTATTTATTTGAAAGACAGAGTTACAGAGAGAGGTAGAGACAGACAGAGCGAGGGAGGTCTGCCATCCACTGGTTCACTCCCCAAATGGTTGCAATGGCCGGAGCCTAGCTGATCCAAAGCCGGGAGCCAGGAGTTTCTTCCAGGTCTCCCACGTGGGTGCAGGGGCCCAAGCATTTGGGCCATCTTCTACTGCTTTCCCAGGCACATTTGTGGGGAGCTGGATCAGAAGTGCAGCAGCCAGGACTTGAAATGTTTTCCATATGGGTGGCTGCGCTGCTGGCCAGGCCTTTAACCCACTGCACCATAGCACCTGCCCCAAAATGTTGATTTTTTTTTTTTTACCTCTGGTGTTATTCCTTTTCTTAAAGTCTACTTTGCTTGATATTAATAAAATTATAATAGTTTTATTATGCTAATTTATTCTACTAAATCCATTGTTTTACCTTTATGTCTAAGTTATCTTTGTCTTTGTAACTAATTCTATTTCTTTTAGAAAACATGTTGTTGGTTTTGGTTTTTTATCCAATCTGATAATCTTTGATTTGTTATCAAAATGTTTATTATGTTTATATATAATGAAATAATTTGATGGGAAGAGTTTAAATCTACCATCTTATGTATTTTCTATTTTTTTTCTATTTTTCTCTATTTTTTCCTTTCTTATATTTGTTTGGCTTAGTCAAATATGTTTAGCCTCCAATTTTTATTCTGCTAACAACTTTTAGCTATATGTATTGTACTATTGCATTAGTGATTATCCGATAATTAAAAATGTATATCATTAAATCATGGCTAAGATTCATCAATGTTATATCCATTTAGTATTACATTGCTGAAACTTATCCTACCATGTTCCTCATTTGCATTACCTGCTAGTCTACACTCTAGCTCTAACATACAAAACTGAAGTTCACAGAATTTCACATTACACACTCAACACTTCACACTTTCAATCCATGCATCACACTTCACAAGTAAAAGACTCTTGTTACAATATAATTCCATTTTTTTCTTTCTTCTTTTTCCTTTTTTCATTTGTTTAATTTTTAAGATACCATATTTTCAATTTACATTATGGTCAAAGACTTGTTGCACCACTAAATAAAGAATTCAGGGGCTGGCATGTGTTGCAGCAGGTTAAATCACAACCTACCATGCCAGAATCACATATGGGCACATGTTCAATGCCGGACTGTTTTACTTCCTATCTAATTCCTTGATAACGTGCCTAGAAAGATTCAGAAGATGGCCCAAGTGCTTGGGCCCTTGCCACTCACATGGAAGACACTTGGCCATTTGGGGAGTGAACCTGTCATGGAAGATCTCTTTGTCACTCCCTCCCGCTCCAAAACTTTGAATTTAAAAAAGTTAAATAAATCTTTAAAATAAATAAATAGTTCAAAACCATTTATATTCCACCTTGTCATATTACTTTAGTCATATATTTTTCTTTAAATTTATAAAATCAAGTAAAAATGCAGTTACACTTGGGAAATCTGCATCCCATATGAAAGTGCTTGTATTTGAGTCCTGGCTCTGTTCCCAATTCCAGGTTCCTTGGAGATTATTATTTTAAGTATGTGGAACCCTGCCATCCATGTGGGAGATCATTGTTGGGTTCCTGGTTTCAGTATGGCCCAGCCTCTAATGTTGCAGATATTTGAAAAGTCAACCAATAGATGCAGGAATTCTTTCTCTTTTCTCCCTCTCTCTTTCTCCCTCTCTGATTCTCTGCCTGCCAAATAAAGATATTAAATAAATAAAATAAATTAAAAATGAGAGGCAAAATTAAATAAAATTTCTTTTACTTAAAAGGTAAAGATTTTAGGAAAGATTTATTTATTTATTTAAAGATATTTATTTATTTATTTGAAAGTCAGAGTTACACAGAGAGAGAGAGAAAGAGAGGCAGAGAGAGAGAGAGAGAGAGAGAGATCTTCCATCCACTGGTTCATTCCCCAATTAGCCGCAATGACCAGAGCTGTGCCATTCCAAAGCCAGGAGTTTCTTCTCGGTCTCCCACAAGGGTGCAGGTTCCCAAGGACTTTGGCCATCTTCTACTGCTTTCCCAGGCCATAGCAGAGAGCTGGATCAGAAGTGAAACAGCTGGCTCTCAAACCAACACCTATATGGGATGCTGGCACTGCAGGTGGTGGCTTTACCCGCTTATGCCACAGCGCCAGCCCCGAGAATTACCTTATATCTACTCACATATTTACAGTTCTAGTGAATTTTTATTTTTTTCTACATTTCCAATCATATCATTTCCCCTCATATTACAAAATTAGTAATTTTTATATTCAACTGTGTTATTTTCTGTTTTTATTTGTCTGAGTATTATTTTGCCTTTTTTTTGAAGCTTAAAAGGAATTCTGAATTGAAAGTATTTTTTTCTTTGAGCACTTTACATATGTCATGCCATTTTTTTCTTTATAATTTATTTAAATTTTAACTTAATCTATTTCATATATACAGATTTAGGAACACAGTGATACTTCCCACCCTACCTTCCTATTCTACCTTCCCTTGTGCCCATGCTTCCACCCCTTCTCCTTCTTCCTCTGTTATTCTCTCTCATTTTTACAATGATCTACTTTCAGTTTACTTTATACTCATAATATTAACCCTACACTAAGTAAAGAGTTCAATAAACATTAAGAAAAAAACACTGCCTCAACAGTAGAGACAAGGGCTATAAACAATCATCGAATCTCAAAATGTCAATTTCACTCCTACATGTAAGTTTTGCTACTATATATTGCGTTGTCATCTTCATTTGTTTCCAGAAATTTTTTGATATATCCTTTTATTTCTTCTATGACCCACTATTCATTCAGGAGCATGTTGTTCAGTCTCCATGTGTTTGCATATTTTCTAGAGATTCCTGAGTTGCTGATTCCAGCTTCATTCCATTGTAGTTCGAGAAGATGCATGGTATGATTTTGATTTTTTTGAATTTTCTGAGACTTGCTTTATGGCCTAGAATGCAGTCAATCCTAGAGAAGAAGGTTCCATGCACTGGAGAAAAGAATGTATATTCTGTGACTGTAGGAAGTAGTTATGTGGATATTTTTTAGGTCCATTTGATCTATAGTGTTGATTAACTCTGTTGTTTCCTTTTTGATTTTCTGTCTGGTTCATTGTCCATTGCCAAAAGTGGGGCACTGAAGTCCCCCATTATTATTTTATTGGAGTCTGTGTCTCCCTTTAGATCCCATAATATTTATTTTAAATAGCCAGGTGCCCTGTAATTAGGTGCATATATGTTTATAATAATGAAATCTGCCTGTTGAATTGATTCACTAAACTTTACATAGTGCCTTTCTATGTCTTTTTTTAACAGTTTTTGTATTAAAGTGTATTGTGTATGATATTAGGATGGCTAAACCAGATCTTTTTTAGTTTCTGTTAGCATGGAATATCTTTTTCCATTCTATTACTTTCAGTCTGTGTGCATCTTTGTTGGTGAGATGTGTTTCTTGTAGGCAACAAATAGATGGGTTTTGTTTTTTTAATTCGTTCAGCCAGTCTATATCTTTTAACTGGAGAGTTGAGGCCAATAACATTCAAGGTGACTGTTGATAAGTAACGACTTTGCCCTGCCATTTTTTCCAAAAATATTCCTATTTTTTACTTTGGATTTTCTCTGTACTTTTACTGGGAGATTTTCCTCCTTTACCTTCTTTCATAATGTTGAATATGTTTCTGTGTGTAGCCCATTCTTAATCATATTTTGTAAAGGCTTGACCAGTGATGACAGATTCTTTCAATTTCTGTTTGTTATGTTTATTTCACCTTCGTTGGTAAAAGTAGAGCTTTGTATTGTACAGTATTCTGGGGTGAAAATTTTTTTTCTCTTAAGACTTGAACTATGTCTCTCCATTCTCTCCTATTCTTTAGGGTTTCTGATGAGAAGTCAGCTGTGAGCTGAATTGGAGATCCTCTGAAAGTAATCTGGCAATTCTGTCATGCACATTTTAGAATATTTTCTTCATGTTTTACTATTGAATGTTTGACTACAATATGTCATGGTTAAGATCTTTCTGGTCATGTCTATTAGGAGTTTTTTGTGCCTTGTGCACTTAGGGGTCTCTTTCTTTCTCCTTATTAGGTGAGTTTTCTGTAATTATTTCAGTGAATAGGTCTTCTAATCCATTCATCTTTCTATACCTTCATGAACTCCTGAGACACATATATTGGATCATGTGATAGTATCCATAAATCTTGAACATTGTTTCTAATTTTTCTAATGTCATCTTGTTTTTTTTTTTCCAGTCTGACTGAGATATTTCCAAAGATTTTTCTTCTAGCTCTGATATCTTTCTTTGCCTCACAAAAGCTGTCGTTCAGGCTTTACACTGTATTATTTATTATACATATTCAATTCTTCATTTCTAATATTTGAGTTTGATTTCTCTTTAAAATTTCAATCTCATGGGAAAATTCTTCCTCAATGTCTTAGATGGATTTTTTTTAACTCATGAATTTGCTTCTCATTGTTTCTAAATAATCCAATGATTAATCCTTTGAATTCCTTTTCAGGCATTTCATCAATCTCTTCATCTTCACATTCTGATATTGAAGCATTGTTGTTATCTTCTGAGGGAGTTATGTTGTCTTCTTGTTTCTTGAATTTCTATATTTATTTTTAGGCATTTTGGAAATACTTGATTTTCTACTCTAATGGCTTTTATCTTTGAACTATACCCCTGTGGATTCCTAGTGTGTCTTCTCTTTCAGTAAATACCCAGAGGCACGCACTGGGTGTGGCCAGGGAGCTGTGTTCATTGCAAGTATCCAGGGTAACACCCAAATTGGGCATGGTACATCTTCTCTGTTGTCAGCAGTGGGGAGAATATGATCACCTCTGTTGGTGCAATCACACCATACCTCCTCTCTTCAGTGAATAGCCCACAGTGGATGCAACACTCATCTGCACTGCTGCATGAACTACACAAAGGATCTGTGCAGTTTTCAAATGTAAGCAAGGATCCCTCTGCAATGGCCCATCCAAGGCAATCAGGAAGCTCTGGGCCCCGATGACAGGCACAGTGATTGCCCAGAGACTTTTTTGACAGGCAGAGTTACACAGTGAGAGAGAGACAGAGAGAAAGGTCTTCCTTCTGTTGGTTCACCCCCAAATAGCCGCTACGGCTGGCACGTTGTGGCCAGCGTGCCGCGCCAATCTGAAGCCAGGAGCCAGGCACTTCCTCCTGGTCTCCCATGCAGGTGCAGGGCCCAAGCACTCAGGCCATCCTCCACTGCCTTTCTGGGCCACAGCAGAGAGCTGGACTGGAAGAGGAGCAACCAGGACAGAATCCGGCGCCCCAACCGGGACTAGAACCCCGGATGCCAGTGCCGCAGGCAGAGGATTAGCCTAGTGAGCTGTGGCGCTGGCCGAGGATTTCATTTTTTTAACCTTGTGTAGTATTCCATGGTGTACATATCTCATAATTTGTTTATCCATTCTTCAGTTGACAGGCATGTGGGCTAATTTCTTTTTTTTTAACTTTTATTTAATGAATATAAATTTCCAAAGTACAGCTTATGGATTACAATGGCTTCCCCCCCATAACGTCCCTCCCACCCGCAACCCTCCTCTTTCCCACTCCCTCTCCCCTTCCATTCACATCATGATTCATTTTCGATTCTCTTTATATACAGAAGATCAGTTTAGCATACATTAAGTAAAGATTTCAACAGTTTGCTCCCACACAGAAACATAAAGTGAAAAATACTGTTTCTTTTTTTTTAAGATTTATTTATTTTACTTGAAAGTCACAGTTACACAGAGAGAGAAAGAGAGGGAAAGAGAGAGAGAGACTTGAGAGAGAGGTCTTCCATCCGCTGGTTCATTCCCCAGTTGGCTGCAATGGCCAGAGCTACACTGATCTGAAGCCAGGAGCCAGGAGCTTCTTCTAGGTCTCCCACCCAGTTGCACGGGCCAAGGACTTGAGCCATCTTCCACTGCTTTCCCAGGCCATAGCAGAGAGCTTGATCGGAAGTGGAGCAGCCAGGTCTGGAACCCGCCCATATGGTATGCCAGCACTGTAGGCGCTGGCTTTACCCTCTACATCACAGCTCTGGCCCCTGGGCCGATTTCATATCTTAGTTATTGTGAATTGAGCTGCAATAAACATGGAGATACAGGTAACTCTTTCATATGCTGATTTAATTTCCCTAGGGAAATTTCCCAGGAGTAGGATGGCTGGGTCATATGGTAGGTCTATATTCAGATTTCTGAGATTTCACCACACTGTCTTCCACAGTGGCTGCACCAGGTTACATCCCCACCAACAGTGGATAGGGTACCTTTTTCTCCATATCCTTGCCAACATTTGTTGCTTTGTTGATTTCTGTATGAAAGCCATTCTAACTGGGGTGAGGTGAAACCTCATTGTGGTTTTGATTTGCATCTCCTTGATGGCTAGTGATCCTGAGCAATTTTTTTGTGTCTGTTGGCCATTTGAATTTCATCTCTTGAAAATTGCCTGGTTAAGTCCTTTGCCTGTTTCTTAACTGATTGCTTATTTTGTTGTTGAATTTCTTGAACTCTTTATAGATTCTGGATATTAATCCTTTATCAGTTGCAAAGTTTTCAAATATTTTCTCCCATTCTGTTAGTTGCTTTTTTGCTGGGTGTTTCTTTTGCAGTGCATCCCAGCTTGATGTAATCCCGTTTGTCAATTTTGGCATTGCTTGTCTGAGCTTCTGGGGTTATATCTAAGAAGTCTTTACTTATGTCAATGTCTTGCAGAGTTTCCCCAATGTTCTCTAGTAATTTGATGGTAGCAGGTTATCGATTTGGGTCTTTGATCCATTTTGAGTGGATTTTTGTGTAAGGTATAAGGTAGGGGTCTAGTTTCATACTTCTGCATGTGGAGATCCAGTTTTCCCAGCACCACTTGTTAAAAAGACTGTATTTGCTCCAGACACTGATTCTAGCCCCTTTGTCTAAGATAATTTGGTTGTAGATGAGTGGATTGTTTCTAGAGTTTCTGTTCTTTTCCATTGGTCTGCATGTCTGTTTCTGTGTCAGTATCCCGCCTGTTTTGATTATAACTGCACGGTATTATGTCTGAAAATCAGGTATTGTGATACCTCTGGCTTTGTTTTTATTGTATAAGATTGCTTTAGCTATTGAGGGTCTCTTGTGTTCCCTTGCGAATATCAGCATCATTTTTTCTAGATCTGAGAAGAATGTCCTTGGTATTTTGATTGGAATTGCATTGAATCTATAAATTGCTTTTGGTGATATGGACATCTTGATGATATTGATTCTTCCAATCCATGAACGTGGAAGATTTTTCAATTCTTTCATATCTCCTATTTCTTTCTTTAATGCTTTGTTATTTTCATCATAGAGGTCTTTGACATCCCTGGCTGTATTTATTCCAAGGTATTTATATTTTTTGTAGCTATTGTGAATTGGATTGATCTTAGATGTTCTTTCTGATCTATGACATTGTCTTTGTATACAACAATGGCTGTTTGTTTTTGTGTGTTAATTTTATATCCTGCCACTTTACCAAACTCTTTCATGAGTTCCAATAGTCTCTAAGGGGAGTCTTTTGGATCCCCTATATATATATATATAGAATCCTGTCATCTGCAAGTAAGGATAGTTTGACTTGCAATTACTCATCTCAGGCAACCAGGGAGCTGTAAACCTGTGGAGCCTCTCACAGTGATTGTCCATAGATCCAGCTACACCCTGTGCCCTCTACAATCAGTAGTTGCCGAGGATCTGCTCTGCCCTTTCCCGCTAGTCTAACCCATCCACAGAAAGGCACAGATGCTCATAGAGCTAGCTCCCTATGGGTACTCCACCTATGCTGTTTGAGCACCAGAGCCTGTGATGTGTTCAAGCCTGGGGACACTTCACAGTCCTATATGGGTGCCCAGCTCTCAACAGTCCACCCAGACATGAATTG